GTGGAAAGAACGCTGGATGTAAAGTCTGAACACCTGGGTAGGTCACTTTAACCTCCTGTGTCTCAACTTCTTCACATAAAATGAGGCTCCTAATACTTACCCTACCTACTTCACAGGTCTATTGTGAAGGACATACTTTGTAAACTGTAGAATGTGACATAATTATAATTTATTGATATATATTGTATGTATTACTTGAGGTCAGAAATGCTTTCAAAGTTGACGTTGAGGATGTGTGCAAAAGTCAAAGGATTGATGGCAAATAGAGATGCATGAGGAGGGAAAGACAAATGCCAAGGAGAAATGTTTCCCAAGTCTGACTTCAAAGGCATCTCACGGATTACACTACAGACATTGCCTCCACATTAAGCCGACAGGCGTCCAAGATACAAAGCAGCCCTTTGCCAGACTCTCCCCTGTTCCAGCCACTTCTCCTTTCCTTTAAATGGAAATGACAATGACGACATTCCCTTTCCCATGACCACCATGAATATTTCATCAGCAAAGCATGGGGCCTTTCATTCTGTAATATATTTCCTTTCTGGCAGGTAAGAGCGACACTCACTCTCCAAGCACTCTACGGGGTGACCCAAAGGGACTCTTGGGTGAACCTGAATTATCTGGAGCAAATTAGAAGGTGATGAAGCTGGTGAGAGGGGAGGAGGGAGGAGACTGCTGAGACCAGAGAGCCCAACATTAAAATCTAGGCAAGTTACTCTGAACTTTTCCCAAACAAACTGTTCCTGGCTGTAACTCTTTACTGTCTTTTCCCTATTGCCTCTGGTCCTCTATTTGGCTTCATTCTACATTACAGTCCAGCCAAATTGGTCTCTGTTCCTCCACATGGGTCACTCCATCTCCCAACTCTCCAGCTTCCAACTCACACGAGCTTTTGCAATTGGTCATCCTAAAACACATTTCTTCCTCATAGAATCCCTCTAAAATGCAATTCAAGAACCACCTTCTGCACAATGCCTTCCCTAATTACCTTCAATTGTTACTTTCCACCATCTCTGACTACTATGTATTTGTTTTGTCTTTATTCCATATGTGTACTTATGTATACACACACACCTATATGTGTATGCATATAGGTCTGTGTGTGTGTGTGTGTGTGTGTGTGTGTGTGTGTGTGTGTGTGTGTGTGTATGGAAAGAGAGACACAGAAAAGAGAAAGAGAGAGACAGAGAGACTGAGACAGGGGGAGGGAGGCAGAAAGAGAGAGGAGCAGGCAACTCAGTATGTCACACACATACCTACAGAGACAGGTTGTGTTCCCTGACAGAATGTAAAGTATTTGAGAGTAGGGATTATTATTTTTTTTAATATTTGCATCCTCAGTGCCTGGCACATAGTAGGTATTAAATAAATGCTCGTTGATAACTGCTTAATTGATTTTCCTCTTTCCCTTTCTATGCAAAAGACCTTTCCATTTAGAATCAGAGAACCTAAGTCTGAGTCTCAATTCTGCTACTGAATGGCTATATTATCTGAGAAAGTCAATTTCCCTCTCTAGGCCTCAATTTCTTCAAATGTAAAAGGAGGGAGAGTGGACATTTTCTCTAAGGTTGTTTCCAGCTCTTAAGCATACAACAATACTATGATTCCATCTCGCTCTCCCCTCAGATCTGAAGGAGTCTAGGAGGCAGGCAGTTCACTTAAGGCATGTCTATATCCCTGAAGTATGATAGTACTCCTTGCCATTGGCTAATTAGAAGATAGGAATTAGACCTGTGATTTCACTGGTTTAGGGAATTCTCAAGGTTGAAGAAAACTCCCTCTGCCAGTACAGGTCAGCACCATCTTTATAAGTTAAGAGTCTCAGAGAACTGCCTAGAGCACTGAAAGGTTAAGTGATTGGCCCACAGTCACAAAGCTAATATGTGTCAGAGGCTAATTAATATATTCAAAATGGTATGAATTCTTTTATGCATCTGTTAACAACAAGAATAACACATTTATATAGCTCTTTGCGGTTGACAAAATACTTTCCCCACAATAATAGTGTAAAGTAAGTAAGATAGTGTGAAGGTAACAATTCTCATTTTACAAACAGGAAACTGGGTTTGCCCCAGGTGACAAAGTTAATAAGTATCAGAGCCAGGGTCTAAGTCAAGTACTCTTTCCATCACACACTCACAGGTATTGTATATTAGAGTAGTTTAGACTCAGGGCACATAGATCAGAAAATCTAGCATGAGTATGGCACCAGACAAGCATTTTCTTTTATTTGTGCTGTCACCTCCACAATTGCACTATAGGGGGTGCAGAGGGAGGACGCAGTAGCCAGCTTGACCTTCTATCCTCTATAATATTCACCTTGTCCCATTCCTCCCCACCCCCATCATCTTCCATCTTTCTTTAACTCCCATTCCCTCTTTGGAACTTGGCTAAGAAGCACTGCTTTAACAGTGGCCCCAGGACAGAGGCCTAGCCACTGTTAGGTTCCAGGCAGTCCCTCCTCCACACCTTTCCCCACGCAGTTCTCTATGCCTAGAATCCCTCCTCTTCCTTCCACCGGTTCACATTGTCTTTTTTTACCTTTAATAGCATTTTTTTCAATTACATATAAAGATAGTTTTCAACATTCATTTTTATAAAATTTTGAGTTCCACGTTTTTTTCCTTCCCTCCCCTCCCCCATCTCCAAGACAACAAGCAATCTGATATGTTATACATGTACAATCATGTTAAACAATTTCCACATTAGTCATGTTGTGAAAGAAGAATCAGAACAAAAGGGAAAAACTACAGAAAAGAAAAACAAGAAAAGTGAAAATAGTATGCTTCGATCTGCATTCAGACTCCATAGTTCTTTCTCTGGATGTGGATAGCACGAGTCTTTTGGAATTGTCTTGGATCACTGTATTGCTAAGAAGAGCTAAGTCTATCATAGTTATCGCACAATGTGGCTGTTGCTATGTACAATGTTCTCCTGGTTGTGCTCACTTCACTTAGCATCAGCAGTTTCTATTTTCAACATCCTTCCCATTCCTTTTGAGGCACAGCTCAAATGCTACCCTCATGGTTAAATAGTCCTAGGATTCATTCTCAATATCCCACTATGCAGCAAGATGTTATTTCCTCCTCTTATCTGACCAACTAGTACCTTGTGTTCCTCTTATATGTGTATCATACTCTAATTTGCGTCATATTCTATGAAAACAATGGCCTCAGATCCAGGAAGACTTGGCTTAAAGTTCTACCTCTCAAACTTACTGGGCAGTGCCCCAAGCAACTTTCTAAAACGATACCTAAGTTTCAGAGAAGATGCCAACCTACAGTGATAGAGGGAGTTTTCTCATCTGGGAGTTCCCTATACCAGTGAAATCACTGGTCCACTCACCATCATTTAACTGTGTACATGTCTAATCAGACCTACTAGATTGCTCCATTAGGGCAAGGAATATGACATTTATCTGTGCTTTCATAGCAATCTCACTTGAGCTTTATCACATCAGAGCAAATGAATCTTTAAGTCACATCCAAGTCTGCTATACTAGCTAGAGGAACAGGGGTAGGTAGAATAGTAACGCTAAAGTTTGTCTAGAATATTTGCAGCTTCCCCCTTGCCCTCACCCCAAATACCCAATTCCCTCAGGTTCTGTTTCTCAATAAAGAAGTGTGACCAGGATAATAAAGCCCTTGGAGACCTAGCCATATGGGGATTGGATGTGGGAATTAGGGATATTTAGCTTCAAGAAGATAACAGTGGAGCCAGGGTGGGGGGAGAAACATGAGTTCTGTAGAATTCTCCCAGAATATACCACACATGGTTAGGTGAGGACAGTGAAAATATAGCCACAGAGTAAGTTTATGCTGTATTCAGAGAAGACTAGATTCATCTAGAAGATGAGAAGTCATGTACCCACTCTAGGTTGCTCTGGTCCAGTGACATCTAGAATAATGTGCCCAATTCTGAGCACCATATTTTAAGAAGGACATTGATGAGCTGGGGCATGTCCAGAAGAATGTGACAGAGAAGGTGGAGAGACTGGAGACCTTGCCATGTGGGGACCAGTTGAATGATTTGATATGTTTAACTTAGAGAAAAGATTTTCTTTTATAATAATCAGGGTAGGTATAATAACTATCAAGTGTGTAATGAGCTGCTATGAGGAAAAAGGATTAGGTTTTTTCTGTTTGGCATCAGAGGGCAAAACTAAGAATGAGGAGGGAGGGGAATATTGCAGAGAGACAGATTTCACATCTATGCAATATCTTCCCCAAAGAAGAACACACTAGAGATGTCCAAAAGTGGGGTGGGCTGTCTCAGGAGATAGTTGTTTCCCTTCACTTGGAACCTTTCCATAAAGACTGGATGACTACTTATCAAGGATGTCATCTCCTGCTCAGGTAGAGGGGGCTTGGACTGGATGACCTCTGAGGTCCCTTCCAACTCTGGGAATTGTGTTTCTCTAGGATACAGGGCATAGCTATACCTATACAAGGGGTACTGAAAACAAGCTCAGGTTAAGGCTTACTGCTTCGACTTCCAGGACATCCAGGGTTGGGAATAGATAGTTATGTCTAGACTGGAACTACCCCCTCCTTTTCGAATTCTAACTGTCTAGGACTTCAACAGGTAGGGAATGTTGTACCAGAAGACTACTTCATTCTTATTATTATAAAGAAAAGGAAACCTTGGGCAGCCCAGGTTCCGTCTATAGTTATCCCTTCCACATTGAAGGGTCTCGGAGCTCAGCACCCTGGTGATCTGAAAAATCCATGTAAAAGTTTTTGGCCCTTCCCTTGTACTGGAGAAGAAATCTGATTGTGTTATTAAAAAATAAAATATGTTGATATTATACAATTCTGTGCATATATTTTTACATTTCTGAGTTTCTAAACTTCTTCTGTATTGTCAGCTGGCCTTTGCTTGCTGTCTGCGGCTTCTGCAAAACTCCCCAAAAATTCCCATTTAATTTCTTATGCCAATCTGTGATATATAGAAACCAAGATAGGGAAAAGTTGAGATGTGGAAGGGATAACACTGCTTACCTTTTTCTCATCTCCCTCTGGAAGAAACTGCAGGATGCTCCTCCTCTCCCCTTCCTGTCTCCGGAGGGAGCTGCTCTGATGCTGGGGAAGACCCCCAGGGGGAGAGATGCTCCGGCCATGAGGATCCACCCAGGTATAGATGTGGTTGGTGACATAGCCCCCTGGGATGCGTCCGACAGAATGCACAGACAAGATTAGCTTCTTGGACCCTTTCAGTGCCTAGGGACAGACAGATAAAACTCCTGTTACTTTAGAGAGGAAAGCACTTTGCCGCATCTCAGTTCTATCATTGGCTACCACTGGTCTCTGGCAAATCACTTCTCCCCCATAGGCCTAGTTTCCTCCTTCGTAGAATAAAGGGATAGTTTTATTAGACGGCCTCTAAGCTACCTTCCAATTCCAAATCTTAGAATCCTATGATCTGTCCCAGAGTCACATAGCTTAGATATGGAGTCTAGAAGGGGATATGTTTATTTTTTATTTATTTATTTTTTGCTTTTTTGGTGAGGTAGTTGGGGTTAAGTTACTTGTCCAGGGTCTCACAGCTAGTAAGTGTCAAGTGTCTGGTCTGAGACCGCATTTGAACTCAGGTCCTCCTGACTTCAGGACTGGTGCTCTATCTACTGCATCACCAAGATGCTTCTTAGAAGGGGATATGTTTAAAAGATGAAATAGCCTAGGGATTAGAACACTGGGCTTAGAATGAGAAATGACTGGAATCAAATCTTGCCTCAGGAAGTAAATTATTTAACCTCTCTGTGCCTCAGTTTCTTCATCTGTAAAATGAGAGAGTGGACTAAATGGCCTCTAAGGTCCATTTCAGCTCTAACTCTATAATGCCATGCAAACTATGCCCCAGGTCAGAGGCCTGTGGTATAACCAGATTTGGCATTAATTTAACATGACTAAGAGTGCTCAGTGTTCCCCCAAGAAAATGGGAACAATCTTTTCTGTATCCCACATTTTGCCTAAGAAGATCAGACAAAAAAGACAAGAAAAAGGGTAGTGCAAGGTATAAAAAGGCCTCCTTGCCCTTTGGGCAAAAATCTCAAGAAAAATGGTCCTATTTTCCCCTTCACATTATTTCCTTTCACACAGTGCTAATGATCCTGTTTATCATCAAACTTTCAAAGACTGCTCCTACCAGGGAGATTATTAGGAAGAAGGAAGCAATTCAAAAATGCCTCAAGGTCCCATTACTTCAGGTCCCATGTTTGTCTAATGAACTCTTGCAGATGAGTTTAGCACACAGCATTTTTCTCCAGCCTACAAAATGTGGAGGTAGGCTCTTCTGTGCTTATTCCCATCTTTTTCCAATTTAAGCCAAGGGCTCTCCGGGCAAGAGCCATACATATCTAACTCTATCTCGAGAGGTAGTGAGGTACAGTGCAAAGAAAATTGGTCTTGAACTCAAAAGACATGGTTCAAGTTCCCAATCAGATGCATATTAGCAAACTACTTCAGCTCCATAACTCTCGCTTTCTTCATTTATGAAATGGGAAAAATGGCAGCTGAACTACCCAGCTCACAGGGTTGTTGTTAGGCAAGCACCTGAGAAACTTTAAAGTATTGTAGAATTATGAACTATTATTGGTGAGTGGTAATATTATGGTCCTAAAATGAACGGTCACTCATTAATAGTCTAGACTCATAACTTCCAGTCTTTCCCCACTCCAATCCCTCCTCTAGAGAGCTGCCAATATAATCTTACTAAAGCATAAATCTGACCATGGTACTTGACTGCTCAAGAATCTTCATCAGTGACTCCCTACTGCCTATTGTATGAGATATTGTATATCATATTGCATATATTATATAATATGCCAATTGTATCCCTACTTTATAAGATACAAACCCCCTCAACTTGGTTTTTAAAACCTCTCCCAATCTGGTTCCAAACTATCCTTCAACATTTACTACATATGACTCTCCTTCATATACTCTATGTTCCAGCCAAAGTAGCTTATTTGCTATTCCTTGAACTCAGCACTCTTATTTCCCACCTCCATGCCTTTGCACATTCTTCCATGACTCTTGGAAAGCCTCACTCACTTCAAGGCTCATGAGGCCTCTCCTAGAGGAAGCCTGTCCTGATCCTCTTGGTTATTAGTGCTCTCTCCCACCTCAAACATCCTGTCTGCAAGCTGTACCTAGTACACTTTTGTCATTTTATATGCAATCCTATTTTTCTGTTCAGCTTTGTATATGAAAATGCTCAATGGGGGGGAGCTAAGTGTGGAACTTTAAAAATTAATTTCTTGCAAAATTATAAAGATCAAGCATGACTAAAAAGAAGAGATGCGAGAGAACACCCTCAGAGAGGTGGGAGGTCCACAGGTCTTGTACATTGTGCATGTTTTCAGACTTTTTCAATGTGTCAATAAGTTGTGCTGATTTTTTTCTTTTCTCTTTTTCTTTCTTTCAAAAATGTCATTTGTTATATGGGATAGCTCTCTGTAAGTGGGAAGGGTACAGATCCTGTGGAAACCTGTGATGATATAAAAAGCAAAAGACACCAATAAAAACTTATTTTAAAAATAAAATTAATTTAAAAAGAGACATTATACAGTAAAAAGTTTTATCATGTATATTGCTAATCTGTTTATGTATTGTATCCCCTTCCCTTTGCTCCCACCACCAACAACAGTAGAATGTAAACTCCTTTAGAGGAAAGAGTAGTTTTGTTTGATTTTCACACACCCAGTGCCTTGCACACAGTAGGCACTTCATATTTAGTCACTGGAATGGAAATGGATGAAAGTACAAACTCACCAAGCTTGCTTAGTTTTTAGTCACATGGTTGAATCAAACCTGACCCAGATCTGTCACCAAAAGATTTCCCCAAACATCCTGAAGATTATGCAACACAAAATGTGCCATTTTCAAAGACAAAGGAGAGCCACAGGGAGCTTTGGTTGTATCAACAAGTGCAACCATTCTGGACTCCTAATCTCCAGCAGGGGAAGAAGAGTGGAAAAGGAAACTGCCTGTTGTCTTAATTTCATAGTTAAATGTCAGTGCCTGATGGAGCGATAACCACTTGAGATCAGCTCTCCGAGACAGCAATAAAAGAGTTGGGAAAGATGAGCAATGAGAAAGTTACAGTGTTCTTTTATGGCTCCCCTGGTGCTCCCTTGACAGAGTGGTCGGGAAAGTAGAATCTCAGTTAAAATTAAGATGCGTGATGAGTGAAGGCTATGCTTATGCCCTGAGGAAGCAGGAAGAGCAAGCTTGAGGAGAACATCCGAATGCTGCAGGAGGGGGATGAGCTTGGTGGCCACCTCTGTTTTGAGGGTCATGACCCTAAAAGAGGTCAGCATGGGGGAGTAAATGAACAGCAGTACTTAGAGCTTGATCAGACATCGAAGATGCCAAGCTCAGCCCCTGCATCCTGGGCCATGGCTAGTTGTTTTGACTTTTGTCTTGCCTCTGAACACTAAAAGACCCAGGTCTTTTTTTTTTTCCCCTACAACCAGAAAGTCACTTACCTTCTCAGGGCTTCAATTTCCTCATCATAAAATGGGTAAGGATCTAATTAGATTATACAAACAAACAAAAGTACTTTTGAAATGAAAAAAGAATGTGATACTTCTTTTGCAGGGGAAAGAGAACTCACTAGATTCAAAGTCACAAGATCTCAATTCAAATCCCATCTCGGCCAATTTTCTGCCCCTGTGACCCATTAGTGAGTTTCTTTTTTTTTTTTTCTTAGTCTCAGTTTCCTCATTGAGGAGGAATGGAAGAAAGGAGGAAAAAAGGAAGAAAAGAAGGGAGGGAGGGAGTAAGGAAGGAAGGAAAGAAGGAAGGAAGGGAAGGAAAGGAAGAAAGAAGAAGGGAAAGAAGGAAGGAGGGAAGAAAGGGAAAGAGGAAGAGAGGGAGGGAAAGAAGGAAAGAAGGAGGGAGAGGAAGAAAAGGGAGGAAGAAAGGATTTATTAAATATATACTATATGCCAAGCACCATGCTAAGCACTTTATTAATATCTCATTTAATCCTGATAACCCTAGGAAGCGGTGCTATTATAATACCCATTTTAGAGTTGAGGAAATTGAGGCAGACAGAGGTTAGGTAATTTGCCCAGGGTCATACAGATAGTAAGTGAGGCCAATCAGGTCTTCCTGACTCCAGTTCCTGCTCCATCCACTGTACCACTTGTTCCAGTGAAGGCTTTGGACTAGATGACTTATGCTAAACAGATGTCACTTGGAATTTTTACACTTAGGACAAGTGACATGGAGCTTGTCTTCAGCTGAGAGAGAGCATAGAGACACCAGTGCAAGGTCAGTTCTGAAAAATAAGGGGATCAGGGCAAGTCCTCAGTCCACCACCTTATGGATTCCTTTTTTTTATAAAGTGTAATTACAATGGTATAGGGAATTCATAGTAAGGAAAGTCCCTCTACCAATATAGTCTTCAACTTACAGTCTTAGAGAGAAATTAAATCTTTCCAGGTTTTTCTGAAGTCTGCCTGCTCATCATTTCTTTTTTTTTATTTTATTAATTTATTTTGATTTATCAACAATCACTTCCATATGCTTTTGAGTTTAAAATTCTTCTGATTATCACTTGGGTTTCTTTTTTTTAATTTTTTTTTCTTTGATGAGGCAGTTGGGATTAAGTGACTTGCCCAAGGTCACACAGCTAGTAAGCATGAAGTGTCCGAGGCCAGATTTGAACTCGGATCCTCCTGACTCCAAGGCAGGAGCTTTATCCACTGTGCCACCTAGCTGCCCCCTCATCATTTCTTATAACACAATAGTATTCCATTATATTCATATACCACAACTTGTTCAGCAGTTCCCCAATTGATGGGCATCCCCTCAATTTCCAATTCTTAGCCACCACAAAAAGAGCTACTACAAATATTTTTGTACATGTGGGTCCTTTTCCCATTTTTATGATCTCTTTGGGATACAGACCTAGAAGTGGTATTGCTGGGTCAAAGGGTATACACAATTTTATAGCCCTTTGGACATAGTTCCAAACTACTCTCTAGAATGGTTGGATCAGTTCACAACTCCACCAACAATGAATTAACGTTCCAATTTTCCCACATCTTCTCCAACACTTATCATTGTCCTGTTTTGTCATGTTAGCCAATCTGATGGGTATGATTAGTGTAGTACCTCAGAGTCGTTTTGATTTGCATTTCTCTAATCGATACTGATTTAGAGCATTTTTTCATATGACCATAGATAACTTTAATATCTTCCTCTGAAAG